GGGGATAACGGCTCCGCGTATCAGACTCGGACTCCTAGGTCAATGCCTCAGGAGGCTGACTTCTCCACTGAACATGAACAGAAGGAAAACTCATCGATCTCAACTGACGAATCTGTCGGTCTAGAATAGCTACCGGCTACTCCTCATAAGACAAGTCCTTGTCCAACTGGACAGTGCTGAAATCTAACACGTGGGATGGATCGCCGTGATATTTTCAAAGCATGGACACATGAAACACTGTTGCACGTCTGATAAGCTAGGCGGCAATGCAAGTCTATAAGCCACATCTCCCACTCTATCAAGAATCTCAAACGGACTAATGAATCTAGGGCTAAGCTTGCCCTTCTTCCCAAATCTCATCAGGCCCTTCATAGGCGACACTCGGAGCAATACCCGCTCACCGACCATAAAATCCACATCTCGAACCTTGCGGTCTGCATAACTCTTCTGCCTGGAATGAGCTGTACGAAGCCTATCCTGAATAATCCTGACCTTGTCCAAGGCCTCCTGAACCAGATCCGTACCCAACAACCGAGCCTCTCCCGGCTCAAACCATCCAATTGGAGACCGACACCGCCTACCATATAAAGCCTCATAAGGAGCCATCTGGATACTCGAGTGGTAGCTATTGTTGTAGGCAAACTCCGCTAAAGGAAAAAACTGATCCCACGAGCCTCCGAAGTCAATGACACAAGCTCGAAGCATATCCTCCAAAATCTGAATAGTCCCCTCGGACTGCCCGTCCGTCTGGGGATGAAATGTTGTGCTCAACTCAACCCGTGTGCCCAACTCTCGCTGAACTGCTCTCCAGAAACGCGAGGTAAACTGCGTACCCCGGTTCGAAATAATAGATACGGGCACACCATGAAGGCGAACAATCTCCCGAATATAGATCTCTACCAACCTCTCAGAAGAATAGGAGACTGCCACAGGAAGGAAATGTGTTGACTTGGTCAGCCTATCAACAATGACCCATACTGCGTCGAACCTCTTCCGAGTCTGCGGGAGTCCCGTAACAAAGTCCATAGTGATTCGCTCCCACTTCCACTCGGGAAGCTCAATCCTCTGAAATAAACCACCACGCCTCTGATGTTCATACTTAACCTGCTTGGCACCTCCACGCTGCACCATGTCTCTAAGGACACACAAATGGGGATCATCATACTACCAATCACGGATATGCTCTAATAATGAAGAACGAGCGACCGTGCAAGCTAACACACGACTGGGCTCAGAAACATCCAGTCTCACGAACTGATTGGCTAAAGCCTGAACATCCAAAGTAAGCGGCCTCTCACCGACCAGAATATAAGCAAGACTGCCCATACTGGCTGACTTCCTACTCAATGCATCGGCCACCACATTGGCCTTTTCCGGATGATATAGAATGGTGATATCATAATCTTTCAACAACTCCAACCACCTTCTCTGCCTCAAATTCAACTCCTTTTGCTTGAACAAATACTGAAGACTCTTGTGATCAGTGAACACCTCACATGCCACACCATACAGATAATGCCTCCAAATCTTTAATGCGTGAACTATGGCTGCCAACTCCAAATCATAAACCGGATAGTTCTTCTCATGAATCTTCAACTGCCTCGAAGCATAGGCAATGACTTTGCCATCCTGCATCAACACTGCTCCAAGCACAACACGGGAAGCATCACAATAAACTGTATAAGGCCCTGAACCTGTGGGCAAAACCAACACCGGTGCCGTAGTTAGAGCTGTCTTGAGCTTCTGAAAGCTCGCCTCACACTCATCTGACCATCTGAACTGGGCACCCTTCTGGGTCAATCTGGTCATCCGGCTGCAATAGATGAAAACCCCTTCACGAACCGACGATAGTAGCCTGCCAATCCCAAGAAACTCCGAATCTCTGTAGCTAATGCTGGTCTAGGCCAGCTCTTGACTGCCTCAATCTTCTTTGGGTCCACCTGAATGCCCTCTACTGATACGACATGACCCAGAAATGCAACTGAACTCAGCCAGAACTCACACTTAGGGAACTTGGCATATAACTGACTATCCCTCAGAGTCTGAAGAACCACTCTAAGGTGCTGCTCGTGCTCCTCCTGGCTGCGGGAATATATCAATATATCATCAATGAAGACTATTACGAAAGAATCCAAATAAGGCCTGAACACTCGGTTCATCAAACCCATAAAAGCTGCTAGGGCATTTGTCAACCCAAATGAAATAACCAAGAACTCATAATGCCCGTACCGAGTGAGGAAAGCTGTCTTAGGGACATCGGATGCCCTAATCCTCAACTGATGGTAGCCAGATCGCAAGTCAATCTTTAAAAATACCCTGGCACCCTGAAGCTAGTCGAACAAATCATCAATCCTCGGCAGCGGATACTTATTCTTGAATGTAACATTGTTTAATTGCCGGTAATCAATACACATTCTCATTGACCCATCCTTCTTTTTAACAAACAACACCAGTGCACCCCAAGGCGAAACACTGGGTGTAATGAAACCCTTCTCAAGCAAATCGTGAAACTGTTCCTTTAACTCCTTCAACTCAGGCGGTGCCATACGATACGTCAGGATAGAAATGGGCTGAGTGCCCGGAACCAGATCAATGCAAAAGTCAATATCCCTGTCGGGTGGCATACCTGGCAGGTCTGAAGGGAAAACCTCAGGATACTCACGAACAACGGGCACAGAATCAATAAAGGGAACCTTAGCACTAGAATCACGAACATACGCCAAATAGGCCAAACACCCCTTCTCGACCATACGTCGAGCCTTCACATAAGAGATAACACTACGGGTAGAATGACCAGGAGTCCCTCTCCACTCTAAATGAGGCATACCCGATAAGGCCAAAGTCATAGTGTTGGCATGACAGTCCAAGATAGCGTGGTAAGGTGATAACCAGTCCATCCCCAATATAATATCAAAGTCAACCATGTCTAGAAGCAACAAATCTACGCGAGTCTCAAGACCCCCAATCACCACAACACAAGAACGATGGACTCGATCTACCACGATAGAATCACCCACCGGTGTAGACACATAAACAGGAACACTCAATGCATCACTAGGCATGACCAGGTGTGGGGCAAAATAAGATGACACATACGAATACGTAGACCGCGGATCAAATAACACTGAAGCATCCCTATCACAAACCAGAACCATACCTGTAATAACTGCATCTGAAGCCTCAGCCTCGGGCCTGGCCTGAAGAGCATAACATCGGGGCTGGGGCCCACCACTCTGTTCTACCTCTCTGGGATGGCCTGCAGTCGCCTGGCCTCCACCACTAGCGGCCTGAGCTCCGCCTCTAGCACCTCTACCTCCACCTCTAGCACCTCTACCCCCACCTCTGGCTGGCTGGGCGGGCTGTGGAACACCTGGTGCCTGAATCATAGCGCGGGAACCCTGCTGCTGCGACTGAGTACCCACCAACCTCGGACAAGCCCTCCTGATATGACCATACTTACCACACTCATAGAATCCACTTGAACGTTGCGGCTGAGGGAATTGAGACTAACCCTGGCGACCTGAATGACCACCCCGAAAACTCTGGAGCGACGGCGCGCTGATAGGAGCTGGTGGTGCACTGTAGGGCTGCTGATCAGAATACTGTATCTGAGGACCACAGCTACCTGAAACACCATGTGAAACCTGAAGAGCTGACTGAAAGGGCCTAGGAGGATGGCCTCTATCATACGAATCCCTGCCTCCAAACGAGGCACCACTGAATCTGCCTGACTGACGGGGCTCTTGTCTGCCTTGTGACCACCCCCTGTGATAATACCATCTCAACTCTCCGGGCCACATTGGCCGCCTCCTGGAAGGATATCTCACTCCCAGCCTATCTAGCCATCTGGAGACGAATCGGCTGAATGAGTCCATCAATAAACCGTCTCACTCTCTCCCTCTCAGTGGGAAGTATAATAAGGGCATGGCGAGCCAAATCTATGAACCTGGTCTCGTACTGGGTGACAGTCATGGATCCCTGCTGGAGACGCTCGAACTGCCTCCGATAAGCCTCTCGCTGTGTAATAGGGAGAAACTTCTCCAGAAATAGCTGCGTGAACTGCTCCCATGTCAAGGTTGGCGATCCTGCTGGTCTAGCTAAGCAATAATCCCTCCACCAAGTCTTGGCGGATCCAGACAAGTGAAATGTAGCAAAATCAACCTCATTGGTCTCAACAATCCCCATGTTCAGAAGAACCTCGTGACAACTGTCCAGATAATCCTGGGGATCCTCAGTAGATGCACCGCTGAAGGTAGTAGTGAAGAGCTTGGTGAACCTGTCCAATCTCCACAAAGCATCGGCAGACATAGCTGCTCCATCACCGGCCTGGGCTACCACGCCCGGCTGAGCTGCTCTAACTGCTGGAGTCTGAATCTGGGGAGCTACCTGCTCCGGAGTACGAGTAGCAGGAGTCTGGGCTCCTCCTCCAGCCTGAGAGACGGCTGGTGCTACAGGAAGTAAACCTGCTCTGGTGACACTCTCCATAAGGCCCACCAGACGGACCAGAGCATCTTGAAGAACTGGGGTGGCAATAAACCCCTATGGGACCTGAGCTGGGCCCACCGGAACTGCTGGGGCTGGAACCTCGTCATTAAAATCGACCTGAGGATTTCCCACCCTCGTGAGTCGTGATGGCGCCTACTCGTAGTAACTAGGCAAGCCACGAAATTATGAATTCTTAACTCTTTTATTTTAATCCTTTTTATAAATCATACTAACAAGAAGTAAACAGTTAGATAACAGCAAAATATGAAATTTAGCGAAAGTCTTAAGTAAATGTAAAAACCAAAATATCTCGAACCCAACACATGCTTCTAACCAGAACCTGGTGTCACAACATTCACGGACTACTAAGAGTATTAAATACAACCGTTTGAAGGAAGTATAACATTGTTTGTCTCGAATACATGAGATAACAGAACAAAATAGAAGATAGAGAAGACGTCGGGCCTGCGGACGCCTGCAAGGCTACCTCGGTGTCTCGGTGGACTGAAGGCTGGCTCCCGAACTACTACTGCGCACCAAATTCTGCTCCGGTATCTGCACATAAGTGCAGAGTGTAGCATCAGCACAACCGACCCCATGTGCTGGTAAGTGTCTGGCCTAACCCCGGCGAGGTAGTGACGAGGCTAGAACCAGACTCCAGATAAACGTGTGCAGTTATATAATACATGGCGGAAAAATAAACAGGCAATAAGCAGTTTAAAAGGGAGGGGGTACATGCTTCGGGGAACAATATCAACCTAGCAGAAACCAAATAGATATATGAAAGAACAGTACAGTATCTACAATAATACAAATACACTACTGTTGCGGCGTGCAACCCGATCCAATATAATATCTGTTGCAGCGTGCAACCCGATCCAATATAATATCTGTTGCGGCGTGCAACCCGATCCCTTATCAACTAACACTGTTGCGACGTGCAACCCGATCCATATATATATATATATATAGCTGTTGCGGCGTGTAACCCGATCCAATATAATATCTGTTGCGGCGTGCAACCCGATCCAACATAATGTCTGTTGCGGCGTGCAATCCGATCCATATATGTATAGTATAAAAATGTTGCGACGCGCAATCCACTCCAAATATACAGCTTACAGTGATCATGACAACAGTCCCGGCAAGGGATTAATCATAAATTATAATATCCCGGCAAGGGAACTCAACAGTATAAGTATATACGTCCCGGTAAGGGAGAATCAGCTATAACCAATCTCAACTCAACTCCTAATCATCTCATTTATCACCATTTCTAACTCATAAGTAATTTCCACAAAAATAAACTAAGTCTTTGCGCAATACCACGGATTTACTCACTATTTCAACCATAGTACCATTCAAGAATACAACAAGTGTCAATTTAAGACTCACGGTCATGCTCGACACCAACGTATAGATACTCGTCACCATGCCTATACGTCGTACTCAACAAGAAACAAGTAGAAAATATGACTCAACTCCTAATCCCTCAAGCCAAGGTTAGACCGGATGCCTTGAACACAACTCAAGTCTCAATTATAGCTTTACCCCTTGATTCCACCGCGAATTCGCTCGTATCTAATCACGAATTACTTAATTACATCAATAAACGCTAAATGAATCAACCCCAATGCATGAAAATGAATTTTCAAAGTTTTATCCAAAATGTCAAAAATCGCCCGCGGGCTCACGTGGTCAAAACTCGAGGTTCGAACTAATACCCGATTACTCATTCCCCCACGAACTCAAATATATAATTTGTTTTGAAATCGGACCTCAAATTGAGGTCCAAATCCCCAATTTTGAAAAACCTAGGTTCTACCCAAAACACTCAATTTCCCCCATGAAAATCTTTGATTTTAGGTTGAAATCATGTTAAAAAGATGTTAATGATTGAAGGAAATGAGTAAAAACTAACTTACAATCGATTTGGAAGAACATTTGTTCTTGCAAAATCGCCCAAAGGAGTTTGTGTTTTGAAAAGATATGAAAAATGGTTTAAAATCGGCTAAGTATAAAAAAATGCAGGTCTTAGTCATGGGAAATGCGAACCCCGACCTCTGCAAATGTGGGATATGCGAAACAGGATTCGCATTTGCGAACCCTTCATAATTTCCCAGCTTTCGCATTAGCGAAGCAGCTGTCGCAATTGCGACTTCGCTTTTGCGAAGAATAAATCGCATTTGCGATCACAGAGGATTTTGGGCGGGCATCGCATTTGCGACGGCTACTTCGCATTTGCGACGAAGGCTGCCCAGGCCAACTCTCGCATTTACGATGCATTACAGATCAGAAACACACCAGCTATTTTTTTAAAGTTCAAAATGCACCCGTGGCCTATCCAAAACTCACCCGAGCTCTCGGGGCTCCAAACCAAAATATACACACAACCTCAAAAATATCCTACGGACTTATTCATGCGATCAAATCGCCAAAATAACATCATAAACATTGAATTAAACCTCAAAATTCATGAATTCTTTCAAACTTCATAAAACATCGAATTTTCCAATTTAGGTCCGAATCACGTCAAACGACGTTCGTTTTTCACCAAATTTCACAGAAACGTCTTAAATCATATATAAGACCTGTATCGGGCGCCGGAACCAAAATACGGTCCCGATACCATCAGGTTCTAATCAAATTTCATTTCAAATTTCCTTAAGCAATTTCAGAAAATAATTTCTTTCAAAAATTCATTTCTCGGGCTTGGGACCTCGGAATTCGATTCCGGGCATACGCCCAAGTCCCATATTTTCCTACGGACCCTCCGGGACCGTCAAATAACGGGTCCGGGTCCGTTTACCCAAAACATTGACCAAAGTCAAATTAATTCATTTTATAACCAAATTTTACCATTTTTCACAGATTTTCATATTTAAGCTTTCCGGCTACGCACTCGGACTGCGCACGCAAATTGAAGTGACTCTAAATGAGGTTTTCAAGGCCTCGGAGTCATAGAATTTTATTTAAAACATATGATGACCGTTTGGGTCATCACATTGTTTCAATGTCACTGCAACCAACAAAGAAGTCAGAGATTCAGTTTCACCTTTATCACTTGAAAATGCAAGCATAGAGCAGAATCATCGGTGAGTACTTGCAAGTTCAAGGAGCAATACACATGCATAATTTCATTTGGTGAAAAATATCTAAATACCTAATAGGTTCGTCAAATGATTTTCAGGGATTGATGCAAATGCGACTGCAAGGCCTTTTTCATGATTTCAAGTCCCGAAAATATTCTTCCAGGAGCATGAGCTGTGGGTGGTCTTGTAAATGCCAAAGACAATGTTGTTGTTCATTAGACTCTTGAGCATCGTATTAGTCATGGTGTTCATCCTAACTGGTGAAATGTTGAGTCATGTACAATTTATTTATTTTTTTGTAATTTATTGTTGAATTTTAGCAAGTATATAAGATAATGCCTATACCTATGGTAGCCCGTGCATCACACGGGTATTCCTTTCTAGTTACTACTATATACAAATGAGGAGGAGGACGACGAACACAGCTATAAAAGTTGTATTATTTGCTGTATTGCAAGTATCTATAAAGATACTAGTAAGACAACCCCGTGCTACGCACGGGCCCAACATTATTATGATAATTTTTCAAATATCAAAAGTATTTTCTGTATTAAGTTCAATTAACATACAGAAACTTGAGAGTTTGAGAATTGGATACAACTTCTGATTCAGTTATATTTTGGCCATCAGAAGCCACCTTCCCGTTGCAATGTCAACAAAGGGAAACCTTTGAGGACATAATGAGTTGAAATATATTTGTCCCACGACGAAGTAACCTGAAATTATTAATTATAAAATTGCAAAATCATTCCAAACAACAAAGGTCATGAAACCTACTTGCTTGAAAAATGTAGAAGATAAAATAGAAGAACGACAGGGTGCCAGTTTGAAACATTGCGAAGACTTGAAAAAGAAATCAATACATGCAAAAACCACGTCACTTTGTGAACTACCTTATATTATCTTCTTGTAGGCACTTGATGCGATTATATACAGTCCTTTTGTTGGCACACTTTCCTTTTACATTATGATGGTATAAGAACAAATCACTATAACATATTAACTCTCTATGAATTAACACTGTTAATAGCATCTTATCCTCTGATCTTATGGCAGATCAAACGTAATTACTCTGAAACTATTTTGCACCCATGGTTCAATATTTTAAAGCTTCATGTATAATTTGCTTTATAGATGACTACAAGAAATTTAACTTTTAACGACCACTTCTTAACGAAGGGACATAAATTCGGTCGTTATAAGTGTACTTATAACAACCAAATATTTTTTCTGTCGTTGAAACTAATTTTAGCTCAATATTAACGAGGGGATAATATTCGGCCATTAAAATATAACATAGCCCGTCGTTAAACAATTAATTACTAAAAAAATAGCGCTAATTTTCCCTTTTTTTTCCAACCCACACCTCCGCCAACCACCACCCCCTCCAAAAAGGAAAAAACCCTAACACTTCTCCTGCAACTGCGAATTAAACCTCTGATTTGAACATTTGTTTCATAAACCTGCAACTGCTATATACGAAGTAAAATTCAGCGAAACTGTTGGTGTTCAAACATCAATATCATCGTATTAGAGAAACTGCTCGTCACCTCCGTTGACAACAACTGCTCATCTTCCATTTCTTCTCATTAGGTAAGGTCGAACAACTGCTCTCTTTCTTCACCTTTTTAAAAATATTGGATCCATCCCAATTCAATTAAAAATTGCGGCCATCGCTTCTCTTAATAGATGATAACATTACATTCTCGATTAGTTTAGTACAAAAGTTGATCTGCCTTTAATTTGCAATTTTGTTGATTTTTCTTTTATAAGCCTTTAATTAACCAAGTTACAGCCAAGGTCAAGAAACCCATATGGATTTTAGGATTATAAGTCGTGACCCCACTAAATGCTATATAATGTCGTAAGCTCACAGAGCCTGAAACAATGCCCTTTTTGGCTTGTCTTCTAGCACTCCTCATATTAGATTTAGCAAATTAACATGTTTATTTATCTTTTTTTTTGTACGGATATTAAGGCTATTACTTGGATTAGGCTAGTTAAATTTTGCGGATGAGAAATTATTCAAATGGATTATAAAGACGATCTTTGAAGTAGATTGACTAATATTCCTTGGTAAAGATTGACTAATTTGAATTCTGTGAAGATTGCAACTAGGAGCTCAATGGAGCTCAATCCCAACTGCCATGGCAGAACATCGAGACTTCTAGAAGGGGAGAATATGGGAGAGCAATGAGAGTTCCATCGTTTGGGAAATGAAAGCTCAAAAATTAAAATTGAGAAAGATACACAGTGATATATGTACATGGGAATGACAGCTGGACAATTAACTACTAACTACTGCCAGCTGTAAAAATGACCAACCAACACTATCTAATTCTAATGTGTACCAGTGATATACAAACGATATACAAGATAAATACAGTGGAATCTCAATACCCCCCCCCCCCCCCCCAAGTTGGAGGTGATAGAAGCACAGCCAACTTGCTCAGGACAGTGGAATGTTTGATGCCTGTAAGAGTCTTGGTAAGGATGTCTGCAAGTTGATCAGTAGTGGTAATGTGATGTAGAGAAACCAGACCATTGTGTAGTTGTTGTCGAACAAAATGGCAGTCTACCTCAATATGTTTCATACATTCATGAAAAACTGGATTTCTTGCTATATGTAAGGCTGATTCACTATCACAAAACACCTCAAAGGGACTGGAACAGGGAACTGTGAAATCAGTGAGCAATCTCTTCAACCAAACCAACTCCCCAATCACTTTTCTCAGGGATCTATACTCAGCTTCTGCTGAGGATAGTGAGACAGTCTCCTGCTTTTTAGACTTCCAACTAATAGGGCTATTCCCTAGCAAAACAATATAACCACTAACAGATTTCCTTGAGTCTGGACAAGCTGCCCAATCGGAGTCACAGTATACCTTAACTGACCAATCAGGTTCTTTGGACATGAACACACCTAGTGTAGGATCACCTTTAAGATATCTCAATAGGTGAAAAGCAGCTTTCAAATGAGGTTCTCTAGGATCTTGCATGAACTGACTAAGGTGTTGTACACTAAAAGCAATATCTGACAAAGGGACTCCTTCTTTTGCTCTGAGCTTCACATTAGGGTCAAGAGGTGAAGTAAAAGAACTGTGCTGCGGGCAGTCATATTCTCTCAGCATGTCAAGGAGAAACTTTCTCTGTGAAATAATGACACCATCTGCTTTATATAGGATTTCCAGGCCCAAGAAGTAGTGGGGTAGTCCTAAATCTTTAATTCTGAACTTGTTGTGTAAGAAGGATTTTAACTGATTAATCTCTAATTTGTCTGTCCCTGTCAGTAGGACATCATCCACATAGACTGCCACATACACAACTGAGTCCCCTTTCCTCTTGAAGAACAAAGAATAGTCATTTATAGAGTGTTCATATCCCCTTGAGTACAATACTTCAGTCAATTTTTCATACCATTGTCTATTTGTCTGCTTCAATCCATATAAAAATTTGTTCAGTTTACAAACTAAACCTTGGTTGTCCACCAAAAGACCAGGAGGGACTTCCATATACATTTCTTCATGCAAGTCACCATGACGAAATGCATTATTTACATCCAGTTGAAAAATATCCCATCCACTCTTTATTGCAACTGCAATGAGGGTCCTGACTGTAGTCATTTTTACCACATGAGAGAAAGTTTCTGTGTAATTCACCCCTTCCTGTTGTGTATAACCCTTCACCACTAATCTAGCTTTGAGTCTCTCAATGGATCCATCTGCCTTATGCTTCACTTTGTACACCCACTTGCATCCAATTGCCTTCTTCCCAGGGGGTAATGGCACCAAGGACCATGTGTCATTGGCATAAAGAGCCTCAAATTCTTGAACCATAGCTGCTTGCCAAGCAGGATTGATGGCAGCTTCCTCAAAAGAAGATGGTTCACTACATTGCATATGCTATTTACCAAACACTGACTGTCATGGACTAGAGTGTTGGCAGAAATATGATGATGTTTAGAAAACAATGTATTCAGAGAAAAACTAGAATGTTTAGGTAGAGTTGTTTGATCATGATGCACAGAGTATATGTAGTCTCTCAAGTATGTAGGTGTTTTATGTTCTCTCAATGACCTTTTTAAAGGTGGTTCAGGAGTTTGCTGTTGTGGTGGAGAGTTGGAGAGAATACTGTTATGTGAAATAGGAGAATTCTGTGCAGATGATGAGCTTGCAGGAACAGGTGAAGGTGAAGAGTATACATGATCAGTAGTAGAAGGAGTGGAGGAAGAGGAAGGAGGTAACATAGCATTGGGTGTGTGTATACCCCTTTGATCACTCATAAGTCCTTCAGAGGGTGGTTCTGTGTTGGTATCAAATGTGGAATTGAGAGGAGGAGGATGAAAAATTGGAGGAAAAGAGGGAGACTGGGACCTGAGAGCAAAGGAAAAGACATACTCATGGAATACAACATCTCTGGATACATGGATTCTTTTGGTGGTTAAGTTCAGTCTTTGTTACCCTTTGTGCCAAATGGATACCCTACAAACACATGAGGTGTTGTTCTTGGCTCAAATTTATCTCTGTAAACTTTTGAAACTGTAGGGAAACAGAGACAACCAAAGCTTCTCAATTGGGAATAATCTGGTTTCTTGTTGTACAACATTTCAAAAAGAGACTTGTTTTTAAGATAAGTAGTAGGTAGTCTATTAATAATGTAGGTAGCTGTAAGGATGCATTCTCCTCAGTATTTTATAGGTAGTTTTGATTGAAATAACAAGGCTCTGGCTGTTTCAAGGAGGTATCTATGCTTCCTCTCCACTACCCCATTCTGTTGAGGAGTATAGGGGCAGCTTTTTTGGTGAATGATTCCTTTGGATTGGAAAAATGACTCAGTTTCAGTGTTAGCAAACTCAAGTCCATTGTCAGATCTTATGGACTCATTTGCTTTTGCATGTTAGCAAATGAGTCCAGGTAGACCTACTGAAATCATCAACCATAGTGATAAAATATTTATACTTGTCATGTGTACACTCATGGTAAGGGCCCCATAGGTCCACATGTAATAGTTCAAAAACTTTGTTTGAAGAGCTGGTTCTTTGAGGAAAGGGAAGTCTGCTTTGTCTAGCCATAGGGCAGATTGAGCACATAAATGGCTGTCTGGAAGGGAAATAAACAGGTATGGAGGGTATTTCCCTCATCTTCACAAAGGGCACATGCCCCAGTCTGTTATGCCACAGTACATTAACAACATTCAAGACTGAACAAAGAGTCTTATTATTCAGAGATGGACTATTTACAATTGGGCATTGAAGACTCAGAGATGGTCTATTTACAGATGTATAGGAAAGACTATTGAGATCACAAGAATGAGAAGGAGAACAAACAGTAGTTTTGTTGGTCAAGCTTTTGTTTCTTAGACATTTGGAGCACAACAGTACAATCCATCTTTGACTTTACCAATCTCCAGAGGCCTCTTCAGTGAAGGGGCCTGCAGAAGACAAGAGTTGTCAGTGAAAGAAGTCATACCTCTCAGGTGCTTGCTCAGCCAGTATACAGAAATAAGGTTGAATTTGAATGAAGGAATGTGAAGAACTTTATATAGAGTGATCTCAGGTGCAAGTTTTACATTTCCAATTTCTGTTACCTTCACTTTATAGCCATTTGGTAAAACAACTAAAAGGGGATAAGGCAAGGTTATAATATCAGAGAGTATGGATTTGTTAAAGGTGATGTGGTTTGAGGCTCCTGAATCTAGTATCCATGTGTCAGTCTTTGATTCAAAGCATCTACAAGATAGTTTATCAAAATCAATAGAGGATGTGCAGACAACAATACCTGCAAAGTTCACAGCACTGGTAAGATTTGAGTTGTTGGAGTTTTCTGCATCACTACCAAGTTGAAAGTGCTGAAGTAGATTAACAAGCTGTCCATATTGTTCTTTGGTCAAAGTCACATTCTGATTCTCATTTTGGCTATCACATTCATCAAGTTTATTTGTCATTGCATCAGCTGGTGCTCCCTGCACAGTTGCTACCATTCTCTTTCCTCTGTTGGATCTAAAATTCTGATTATTCTGAGGATATCTTGTAAAACTCTGCCCACTCTGTGGATAACCATGTAGTTTGTAACACTTATCCTTAGTGTGCCCTGGTCTCTTGCAGAAATCACACATAGGTCGACCTCTATTGTTTCCAGGATAGTTATGAGTTGGTGAGAAATTAGTCCTAAATTGACTTGATCCTGCATTGTTCACATTTAAGGAAGTGGACTCGAGTGAGAGCTGGCTATTTGGTCTTATCTCCCTTTGTTTCTCATCTTGGACAAGTAAGGAAAAAGCTTAGGCTATTGTGGGTAGTGGATTCATCATAAGGATACTCCCTCGGACCACAGTATACACCTCATTAAGCCCCATGAGGAATTGAATCAGTCTTCTATCTTGTTCAGCTTTATACATGCCTTCCTTTGCCCCACAGTTACAAACGCAACTACACTGAGTCCTCTTGTTCAAAGTGTTCAACTCCTCCCATAGCTTTTTCAGCTTAGTGTAATAACCAGTAATGTCAAGAACTCCTTGAGAGAGGTCATTAATCTCCTTCTGAATTTGATATAGCCTAGCTCCATTAGTTTGTTCATAACGATCCTACAGTTCCTTCCACAATCAACAGCATCACTTGCAAACTCCACACTGTCTGCAATTTCTTTGGAAAGAGAATTTAAGATCCATGATGTTACCATGTTATCACATCGTTCCCACTGCCTGTAATTTGGAGATTGCACATTTGGTTGTTTGCATTCTCCACTCACAAAACCTAGCTTATTCTTTACGGATAATCCACGAAGAACACTACGCCTCCAGGATCTATAACCTATCCCATCAAATGGAACAGATACCAGCATTGCTCCAGGATTGTTTGAAGGATGTAAGTACAGGGGATCTCTGTTTTAAAAGGCAGAATTGGGACTCGCCCGGGACTCGCCCCGGACTCGCCCCGGGGCGGAGCACTCGTAAAACGCCCCTGGGCTTATATGTGGGGCTTAGTTCCATGAGACTTACGCCTCGGCCATCGGGACTTACGCCCAACGCCCAGCGTACTGGGCTCGCCTAATAGAACTTTATGCAATTGTTTGTAACTAACCTGGTAAATCCTCAAATTTTCTTAATAAATCGTTGACTATTCAAAATTACTTTTTCTCTTCATCATAAATCATTAAGTTGAGAGTATTTTGTGTCATAAGTAAAATAAAAATTATTGCACGTTATCCATTAAGACTGCTATGATAGTAAACTTTAAATAAATCTTTCATTTAAAAAGTATTTATTTATTAACTTTTGTTATGTCTTTATTGTATAATAGTCCATAATATTTTTATAATTATTTTCCTAAATATTAGTTTTTTCACGTTTACGAGATACAATACTTAATTTAATAGCTCAGTATTAGCTAGCACAACTATTTACAAATATTAGTTATCATGGTATAGTATGGTGAATTATGTGTCACTTTATTAACTTGTTGAAATTTAAAAATAAATGATGCTAGACAATCATATTTAAATTGTGAATTATATTTATATATAAATTCTCTTTCAAATTAAAAGCATATTTTATAAAAGGAGTATTTTAAAAAATATCAAATTATAATATCGAAATTATATCAAGATTCATCACTCATTAAGAGATACATATAAGATTTTGTATCGAATACATTACTTTTGTCGTTTAAGTTGTACGACGTTGCAGCTACTTTGCATATTATGATATATATCATACTTTACGTATTATTCATAGTCGAATTATAATTTATAAGTATTTTAATTAGATTAGTTGTTATAATTTTGTGATTCAATGTAATTTTTATAACTATTTTTTTTATACTATCTTAAAATTCTTGAAATTAGTAAAAGTTAAAGATCCGTGGGACTTACGCCCCATGTCTCAGGGCTTACGCCTCGCCTCGTCAGAGGTAAAACGCCTCGCCTCACGCCCCCGCCTTTTAAAACATTGCAGGGGATCACTTGGATCAATTCCAGTACTCGGAGGCACAGTGGCACTCGCATTAGCAGAATTCACATCTTGTTGATCAGTAATAGCCATTACTACTTCGAATTACTCGAAATTATCAGAAGAAAAGTAAATCGATTGAAATTCGATAGGGGCAAAGAACAATTGGAGTGAAGATCCTTAGATCTGTATGAGATGGATCAACTAAACGAGAAATCAACTGAACTTATGGTAAATTGATCAAACTAGGTCAGAAAATAGAAGAACAAAAAGAGGAGAGGAGGAAATCTGTGAGCAGAAAAGGAGAATGTGAGAAGAATTGACCTTACGATTTGAGGAGGATTAACCTCGCTCTGATACCATGTGAAGATTGCAACTAGATGAGCTCAATGGAGCTCAATCCCAACTGCCATGGCTGAACATCGAGACTTCTAGAAGGGGAGAATATGGGAGAGCAATGAGAGTTCCATCGTTTGGGAAATGAAAGCTCAAAAATTAAAATTGAGAAAGATACACAGTGATATATGTACATGGGATTGACAGCTGGACAATTAACTACTAACTACTGCCAGCTGTAAAAATGACCAACCAACTAACTATCTAATTCTAATGTGTACCAGTGATATACAAACGATATACAAGATAAATACAGTGGAATCTCAATAAATTCTTATACTAATAAGATCAATATTTAACTCTTCTTAGCAACTTTTAATATACCACAAAAGAAAGACCAGAGCTTATGCGACACATTACAAATGATAAATATCATAGAATGGCACATATTTAAAAGATAAGTCTAGCGGCTCAAATCCAATATTGTTAATAATTTTTGTGCTAATTGACATAAAAAGAAGATTAGCGCTCATACCATCTTTAAGAATTCATCACATTGGTAAGAAATTACCAATAGATCAGACAATAGGACATGAGACTTTTAGCAGAATGTGTACATGACTTGAGTATCCCTGCACTCATATGTCTTTCAAGTTCTATAGTAGATAAATAGTAAGTAAAGCGACATACAAATCCACCAGCTACTCTTTGCCTTTGAAGTAATGAAATGAATGTGTCGCCTCTCAGAGTGATTAATTGGAATTCATGGACATGTTTAGATCTTCAAAATTATCTATTTCGGTATTCTCAATTAGGTGCTTTAGGAAACAAAGAAGTAGTACAATATCGATAGAGCTTTCAGATAAGCAAATAAGTTACGTTAAAATGGAGATTGTTTGCTCTATATGACCAAGCTTGCACCCAATAGGAAGTGAATACCGAAAAGGATCATGTTTCATTCCTCAAATGACATGGAGTGCAAGAGAAATTAAGCTTATTGTTTGGATTCGCCAGATTCTGGAAAACCAATAAGATATCATATAACTATATTATATAATTCTACATCTATTAGTATTTTTTGACATTGAAAGAAAATTTTGCCGAAGGTTCAGGTAAAAAATTTCGGGGGTGAAAATTTTGAAGAAACCTCGAGTTGCAAAAAGATGAACACAACTTTGCAGATCAAGAGCAAGCAATGTGCGTAAACTGTTTTCCATGACTTAAAAGTAGAAATACTTAATGGTTGAATGAATCCCATTTCTAATTTCAGATGTTTACTTCATTTTTGATTACTTAAGAAGTCGTCTCATAGACCATAGTGAGAGCTCTGTAACTGAGGTCATCACTCAAAAAAACAGCTCTATAATTCATATTTTATAATCCCATTCAACCACAAAATGAGGGATCTCCAAATACTAAGAAGTAACAATATCTAGAATTAAAATATGAAAACAACATTATTTCATAAAATGGAACTTGTCTGTTTATATGCATGTACAAAATCAAGGAATAAACTATCCCTAAAAAATAAAAACACCGACACACACCAACCAAACAGCCATTAACAATAAATGGATGAAACAAACAAAAAAAATGAAAACAAAAGAAAAACAGCAGGCGCCTGATGCAAGAAGGAATTACGCTGGCTGGGAGGAGTGGTACTCGTCGCTTGCGGAGGTGTACCTGACCGTTAGAGTTAGTTGAATGTTATTAAAATAGGAAGTTTCAGTTGTTACACTTTAGTCCTCTTAAGTTTTAATTTATGTTTACAGAATTAGCAATTGAGTCTGTAATTTCTTTATCCAGGACACTTTTGGTCCTCGATAGTACTGTCAGTAGAGAGGTGTACGACCTTATCCCTTAGTAGTGGTCCTGCAGAGGATATTCCTCTATATAGTGTAATTCTCTGCATTTTTGGCAGGACATCAATGAAAATTCATATTAGTTAACCCTAGTATAGCTTTTACTTAGCATTTCCGCTTCTTTTCTTCCCTCTCCGACTACTGTTCCATTGCCTTTGGCACCATTTGGTATCAGAGCACTCTCTTGAGCGCTGTGGGTGATAACAATGGCAAATATGGATGAGATTAAGTCTATGTTTGAGAGAATGACAGTCGAGATAGCAAATTTCTCGGTGAGGCAGACTCAGCTCGAGAATCAACATGAAAGGGCTTTTGCTGAGCTGAAAGAGTCTATTGATGCTGTGAAGAGGTATGATAGAGGAAAGGGGATAGAAGACTTGGATGGAGGAGGCGAGATCTACACCCCTACAGGCAACCCTGCTGCGTGGGTACATGGTGGTGTTACCACAAATCAGTTTTCTCCAGTTGCCTACCACTTGGGGTTTGGGCCCTTGCCTCAATTTCAAGGGCCAAGGGGGGTTGCTTCTCCCCACAGACCAACCTTTATAGCTCCTGTTCAAGGACATTCTGCTGCTACCGGCAACAATGGAGGGGGTTATGCTCAAGGACAAAGTTCAGCTGGACAAAATGGTGGTGGTGAACCAGCTCCTGCAGCTCAGAACTCGACTGCAACATCACCAAGAGGAACAAATCTGACCAGGATGACCAAGCTGGAGTTCCCTCGTTTCAATGGCCTCAACCTTAAGGCTTGGCTTTGTAAGGTAGAACAATTTTTCTCACTAGATGAAGTTGATTATAATCAAAGGGTTAAGGTGGCTTCCATACATTTTGATGACATAGCCATAGAGTGGCATCTTGCCTATTTGAGAAGTAGATCTCACTTACCCTACCCTAGCTATGATGAGTATGTGTATGCTCTCATAGATAGGTTTGGGGCTGAGTATGCTGACCCTATGTCTGAGCTCAAGCTAGTAAGGCAAGTGGGAGTGGTGGAAGATTACCAGAAGGAGTTTGATAGGATCATGACCCGGCTGCACATCCTTCCTGAATATGCTATTAGTGCTTTCATCACTGGTCTCAAACCAGAAATTGGATTTACTGTGAAGAATCATCGACCCTTTTCCCTACCCCAGGCTTACCAGTTGGCTAGAAACACTGAAGCTCAAGTGAATGCTCAGTTGAAGATGATTAAGTCCACACTGTACAGTGGAGGGTCATCTCATACTAGGAGCAACACTTATGGATCTTCTTCAAAGGGAGGTTTCCCTAAGAAGGAAGGAAACATGCTTAAAAGAGAGGCTGCTGCTAACTGGAACAAAGGGAATACAAGGAAGTTAACTACAGCTGAAATGAATGAAAAGAGGCAGAAGGGATTATGTTTTTTTTGTGATGAGAAATTTTTTCCTGGTCATAAGTGTAGTAGCTCCAAACAGTTGTATTTGTTGGAGGTGGAAGAAGAAGGACAAGAGGAGGAAGAATCAGGAGACCTAGTATTGGTAGAGGAACCTGCAGAGGTAACTGAAGAAGCAGGAGAAGAGGTGAAGGGAGAAGTGTGTGAAATATCAGTCCATGCTCTTCATGGAGTGCCAACATTCCACAATTTAAGAGTGACTGGTTATTGCCAGAAAAGACCACTAAGTATATTGGTCGACCCTGGTAGTACACACAATTTCATTGATGATGATGTAGCAAGAAGCCTGGGAATTGCTACCCTGAAGATTAATCCTCAAACTATCAATGTGGCAGATGGGAACAATAGGCAGACAAATGAACTTTGTAAGAACTTGACTTGGCTGCTGCAAGGGGTCACTTATACAGCAGATTTTCTACTGTTACCATTGGGCTCTTGTGACTTGATATTGGGAGTACAATGGCTGCTGCCATTAGGGGATCTTAAGCTGAACTTTCAGGAGCTTACCTTGGGATACAATTACCAAGGAAGGGAGTGTATATTGAAGGGGGAGGTGGACAAGGTAAAAATTGTGGAGGCTAAGAAGTTGGATAAACTAGCTAACAATGGGGGACAGCTATTTATGTTGAGAGTACTGCCCAGGGAGGAGGCACAAACAGAGGATAGCATCAACATACCTTCACAGATGCAGCCATTGATTGAGGAGTACCATCAGCTGTTCACTGATCCTAAGGGATTACCTCCCTCTAGAGGACCATTTGATCACAAAATACCATTGCAGGCAGGGTGTAATCCTGTAAATCTCAGACCTTACAGGTATTCTTCATCACAGAAGGATATCATTGAAAGGTTAGTGCAGGATATGCTTGATCAAGGAATTGTGCAGCCAAGTTCCAGTCCATATGCATCCCCAGTAGTTCTAGTAGGAAAGAAAGATGGCAGTTGGAGGCTGTGTGTGGATTACAGGGGCCTAAACAAGGCCACCATCAAAGACAAGTTCCCTATCCCAATCATAGAAGAACTTCTGGATGAATTGGGTGGTTCACAGGTCTACTCCAAGATAGACCTTAGGTCTGGGTACCACCAGATCAGGATGACCACAGAAGATATAGCCAAGACAGCATTCAGAACCCACTCAGGGCACTATGAGTATTTGGTAATGCCTTTTGGACTTACCAATGCCCCTCTTGCTTCCAGAGTTTGATGAATAATGTGTTCAAGGAGCATCTCAGGAAATTTATTTTGGTATTCTTTGATGATATCCTAGTATTCAGCAGGAACATGCTTGAGCACTTGGTACATCTTAGGATAACATTTGAGTTATTAGTGAAACACCATCTGTTTGCAAGGAAATCAAAATGTTCTTTTCGGGCCAGTAGAATTGAATATTTGGGGCACATTATATCTGCTGAAGGGGTAGCAACTGACCCTAAGAAGATTGCTGCAGTACAGTCATGGTTCACCAAAGAATGTCAGGGAACTAAGGGGCTTCTTAGGGCCGGCAGGTTATTATAGGAGATTCATCAAGCATTATGGAGTGATCAGTAGGCCCTTGATAGAGCGCTCAAGAAAGATGGGTTCCAATGGTCTAACAAGGCAGAGGTAGCATTCAACAATCTAAAAAGAGCCCTCACATCAGCACCAGTGCTGGCACTTCCAAGCAGCCAGCTTATGTTTATAGTGGAAACTGATGCATGTGACTATGGTGTTGGGGCTGTGTTAATGCAAGATGGTCACCCTATAGCCTATCTCAGCAAAGGTTTATCAGGAAGGCATCAAGTTTTGTCAGTTTATGACAAGGAACTGTTAGCTCTTGTCATCGCTGTTACCAAATGGGCACAATATCTAATGGGAAGACACTTTGTGGTAAGAACTGACCAGAAGGCACTGAAGTTCTTGTTAGATCAGAAGCTTCACACTGGATCACAAATGAAATGGATAGCCAAGCTCATGCAATTTGATTTTGTGATAGAATATAAGAAGGGAAGAGAGAATAAGGCAGCTGATTCCCTATCCAGAGTTCCATCAGGGGAATTGGCAATGATTTTGCTCACTCCAACTAGCCATGAGCTCCTTCAAAGAATCAAGGACAGCTGGGAAAAAGACAAAGAGGTTGCAGAGATCATAGCACACATCCAGAAGCAGGGGGAGGAGCAGAAGGGGTATACATTTGTGAACCAACAGCTGAGAAGGAAGGGCAAACTAGTGGTGGGAAATGATAGTTCTCTGAGGCAAGAAATCCTTCAGATATGGCATGATAAACCTATAGGTGGTCATTCTGGAATAGAAAACACCTACAAAAGGTTATCCAATCTCTTCTACTGGAAAGGGCTCAAGGAAGATGTGACAACTTATGTGAGGCAATGTGCAACATGTCAAAGAAGCAAGTATGATAATAGTGCATATCCTGGATTGTTGCAGCCATTACAAATTCCTAACACTGCTTGGGCCAGCATTAGCATGGACTTTATTGATGGGCTCCCTAAGTCCAAGGGCAAAACAACTATACTAGTGATGGTGGACAGACTCACCAAGTATGGCCATTTTATTGCCATCAGCCATCCTTACACTGCCACCTCTGTGGCCCAGGTGTTCTTGGATCATGTTTACAAGCTACATGGTATGCCAGAGAATATAATCAGTGACAGGGGTCACATTAGTTGTAGCGACGAAGTTAGTTCGACGAGTACTTTTCGTTTCGACTA